AAAAAAAAAAAAAGTCTATTTGAGATTTGTACTGCTTATCAGCATTTTCACCGCCATATTTTCCTACAATTCCTCCAGCATTAACCATGCATCTGTGTGTCGCACATTGGGTGTCCAGCGCTTGATCTGTGTCCACTGAGATGTGCTTCCTTCTTCCTGCAGCTGGAACGTGGTGGGCATCCAGGGGTCCCTACTGAGCATTTTCGTGGAGCCCATCTACTTCTCCAGCATCATCCTGGGGAGCCTGTACCATGGGGACCACCTCTCCAGGGCCATGTACCAGCGGATCTCCAACATAGAGGACCTGCCACCTCTCTACACCCTCAACAAGCCCCTGCTCAGTGGCAAGTACCTTGTGTCACCACCTCCCTCAGTATCCTGAGCTCACAGTGTTGGGCCCCATGCATCCCCCCATCAGGAGCCAGTTGTGGCTGCTAGGCAGCAGCAGAGCCATGGAAAGGGTGCACGTGACCTTGTCTCTGAGCCCCTTAAGGGAGTCCTGCAGCTGTGAGCCCTGTCATTCGCTGCGAAGCCACAGTGGCCTGGCACCTTTCTGCTTTCTTTCATGCTTCGTAGCCATTCCTGTTGCAGTGGTAAAGACTCATGCAGTCTTCCCCAGGACAACCAGGCTGGGGCTTGGCAAGCATCTATCCTTACATGGAGCCAGCCAGAGCAGCTTCACCCAGCTGATACCCTTAGTGCTGGTGACACCTGCCCGGCTCCCTCTGGGCATGTGGTAGGTGTGGCAGGGATGCAGCTCTCCTGGTGTCTCCTCCTGCCCTTTACACCTTTATTACTGGTTTCTTTTCTTTTTTTAGAGTGTCAGTGGCTAACAGTAAAGTGAACAGGAGCTTTTGAGTTCAAAGGCCCTAACTTCTAAGCCCACCCTTATTTAAAAGGATACAGTTAAGGTATTTTTACACTTTTTAAAAAATAACATTTTACTTATGTTTGTAAGCTCAAAACTAAACCATATCCTAAACTAAAAAATGCTTCTTTTGGTGTTGTGTGTACTCTGCCTTGTTAGTGCCTGGCTAGTAGCATGTCTCTAACTGAGAGATAGCAGGGTGGATTTATTTGACAACATGACAGTCAAGCATATGAAGTGAGCAGGGAAAGGGAAGCATGGGCGTTGTCTCAAATCACATACTGCAGCTCCCTAGTCCTAGCCATTCTCCTTCACAAAAAACCAGAATTGACCTAAAACTTGATGAGGGAGCCAGGGATGGTGGCACACACCTTTAATCCCAGCACTTGGCAGGAAGCAGAGGCAGGCAGATCTCTATGAGTTTGAGGCCAGTGTGGTCTACATAGCCAGTTTCAGGCCAGGTAGGGCTACAGGGAGACCCTGAAGAAAAAAAAAAAAAAAGACTTGATGAGGGTAAGTTGAACTTGGAACACTGATGTCCTTTGGAGCGTCTGGTTATATATTAGTGCTTCCTCATGCATCAGAAAATAATTTTCCCTCATTATTTTCTCTGTGGCACATTTGAAAGAGGAATGCTTTACTAGCTGTTGCTATAACATAATACTGGAGGGTACTTTATAAAGAGAAGTCGTAGCTCACCATTTCAGAGGCTGGAAGTCCAAGACAGTTTCATCTGCTTGGCCTCTGTTCTTATGTAAGATGGGAAGGCACCACTGCAGTTAGAGGAATGCAGTAGAGAGAAAGCCCATGGCAGGTTGAAGAGATACTCAGTGGTAAAGTGCTTATTACTCTTGTAGAGGATTCAAGTTCAGTTCCCAGCACCCACGTCAGGCAGCTTAAAACTACTTGTAACTCCAGGTCCAGAGGTTCTAGCACCTTCCTCTGGCCTCTATAGGCACACACATAGCACACACTCACATAGACACACACACACACACACACACACACACACAGGGTGGGGGAGAGAGGTAGAGAGAGAGAAAGAGAGAGGGAGGGAGGGAGATAGAACACCAGGAGCACAAGCAAGGCAGGGGTCAAGCTCACTGTTTAAAACTTGCTCTCCAGGAGCTGACCCGGGGTCCTGTGAGAACTACACTGACCTTTTAGGAGGAAACATGCCCAGTGACCTAACCACCTACCACTGGGCCCCATCTCGGAGGTTCCCACCTCAGCCTCAGCACACTGAAGTACAAGCCTCAGCACGTGGGCCTTTAGAGAACACACTCCAGCCAGATTCAAACTGTGGTGAGTGCTCAGCTCTAACCATCACTGTCTCGTATTCATACAGACTCAATGTGAGATAAGGGCATATATGATGGCCCAGAGCAGCTGAATACTGTCTAAGCAGTATTCCATCAATAACTGAAATTTGAAATGAAAGAATCATTTATCATTTTTCTAGAAAGATGCTGTAAGATATTGAAAGTGGAGCTGATTTATAAAAGTCAAATGTGCTTTACCAAAGTTTATG